GTGTGTGTTTGTTGTGTATATGTGAGTGAATGTAAGTTGGTATACACATACATATATATATGTAAGTTGGTAATATATATAAATAATATATATATATTCTTTACAAATAGATGTATCTGGCTACTTTGCATTATGTATCTAAAACTGTTTTCATTTCATTTTGCTTTAATTTAAATTTTAATTGTTTTATTACTGTGAAAGGCTGTAATAATTTAGTTATTCATAACTTACTCTGTTTAATGTGTATCTCTCCTTAAAATAATTTGCATAATTGAAGATCATACAATTAGTAGTAAGAAATCAATAGATTACTAAGGGAATAACAGTACTTAATGAATGAATAATTTCTTCCAATGAGAATATACTTATGATATAATACTTTTGCTATAACTCTGTTTTTTGTTTGAGTTTTTATGCATCTGTAGGTCGGAAAGTCTGATCATATATCCAGTACTGAGGAAGCCAGGTAATAGAGAAAGAAAAAGTATTAGTTGTTGATAATGTCAGTTGACATAGCTTGTAAATATTTAAACTCTAAGTCATATTTGCAGATTTTTAGACACTACAGTAGGTAAAATTAAATAACTAATTAATCAATAGGTACAAATGAAAGAAGATACTTCATGATTGCTGAACAACAATGCTCACCCTCAGTATTTAGAGGATACAAGTTCTTCAAGTCAAGTTTTCCTCTGTGCAGCTGTCTTCATCTGTAAGTTTGGAATAACTTCTGGGTGATTAGGTGTTATAACAGTAGATAATACATCATATGTTTTACCATAGTCAGTCTTTAAATATTTCCAAGGCCTATATGTTCATATATTTTTGTCTTTTGGGCTCATTTTTCACAGTTCTCAATTAATGAGAAGCAACATTAGAGTTCCTTGGGGGAGACTATGAGCAGAAAGCCGATATCCTCTGTACTGAGCAATGAATGCTGGAGATATAAAGAAATTCAGGCTGTGTCTCCATCAGATCTGTCCATCATCATTCTTTCTACAGCCTGGTGCTCTCTCACCTTTACATTATTTCAAGTAACTTTTTGATTATCTACTTTTCCAAATTTGTACTGCATAAGTAACAGTACTAACCCAAGTTGTAGGCATGGTAACAACTATGCAGTGAAAATGGCACTATGCTTTCACCTTAGGCCTCATACATTTCTCTGATTACTCTACTGAGATGTGAATGGCAGCTGTTCTATTTTACAGAGGAAAAATCACATTAACCATTGGTGTAAAAGGCTGATAATCTCTTTGATGCTCTTGAATAAGCACTAAAAGCCAGGTAACATTATCCATTTGTGCATTCCTGTTTTATAAGTAGCCAAACTTTAGTTTTATATTAAGAAGTAATTTGTACTCATTAATTTTTCTTCCAAAATGTTCAGTATTAACACTTATGAGACACACACACAGAGAGACTATTAATAAGGTAAAAGCAGAAAAAGTCATTCAGTATTGAGCTGGAGTTATCTCTATGCAGTTAAATCACTTATTTCTCTTGTAGAGGACCTGGGTTCAGGTCTCAGCACCCACATGACAGCTCACAACTATCAATGACTCCAACTCCAGGAAATCCCACACTGTTTCTGACCAATGGAGGAATGCACATTCTCACATCTATATAAATAAGCATTTAAGATAATAAGCATTTCGGGGCTGGAGAATTGGCTCAGCAGTTAAGAGCAGTGACTGCTCTTCAAGAGGACACAGGTTCAATTCCCAGCACTCACATGGCAGCTCACAACTGCCTTTAACTCCTGTTCCAAGGTATCCAATGCAGGCAAAACAGCAAAAATAAATAATTTTAAAAGGTAGTAAGCATTTAATTTATCTCATTACAGGATCAAAATTATGCCGTAATCATATTTAGTTATTTAATTCTCTTCCTAAATAAAAAGATTTGTACAATGGTTTTCCCATTAAAAGTGACTTTCTTCTCTAGGAGACTACTCCTTAGGCACACAAATCAGTATACATAAAATAGATCATTCTGGAAGGATTCTTACTTAGGCCACTTCTCTTTGTCTCAAGTGTTTATTAAGCTACCTTGCATCTTGAAAACTCAACTTTGTGTTTATTTTCCCACATTTATACAGCCATCTGAAGTTACTAGGTATTTCTATATGAATATAAAAATGATTTCTATGTTAATTCAAACATCCTGAACTCTATATCAATGGAAATATGCTAATGCACAATAGCTCTGTGTAAATAGATCTACTTTTGTGAATATAATTTCTGGGACTTTTCAACTTTATACTTTATGAGTTGGTATTTTTCATGCTGATAGTTCAGCTTTGCCAAATTACGTGACAGTAGGATTATAAAGTTTCTTTGGAATCACATTTCTATCCTTTTATGTTAATATGACATTCACTGTGGTCTTCTCAGCATATATCCTATTGTATAGTTTGGTATTGTGTAGAATGAAAGACATAGTGGAGTATGTGGCTCAGTAGGAGGAGTACTTGCCCAGTATGTATAAGACTCTAGATTTATTAGAAAAATAGTCAGAAAAAAACAGCAAAAATTATTTGAATCACCAGTGTCTCTCTTGTCTATAGTAAGATTTTTTTCTTTGTTTTTGTTGATATAACAGCCTCATCATGAAACCTAGATGGCCCAAAAGTTCTGAAGTGTTTGCTCCTCCCCTGCAACTATATCAACATTAAATTTTTAATAATGGGGCAGTGAAAAAGTAATAAGTAAAACTTCCTCATCACCATTTGTCCAACCACTGTGTTTAAAGAAAGGGTTTTTGGAAAACTCAGCTGTGTATTTGACATGACTTACCCAACAGCTGTTACCCTACATGGGCCAAACTGTATTAAGATTGAGATAAATAAAGACAAAGATAAATGCTAAGGTATGATGATAATAAATTTAATCTAAAAATAGAAAG